TCCCCCCCCCCCCCACCTTCTGTGCCACCTGAGGTTCTCCTCGATTTCAAGAAGCAAGGCTGGCCTCTTTTCTTCCAGGTATGCCTGGGCGCGAACCCACGCTTGCCTGAAGAGTAGACCCATGGCATAGCAGTGGGATTACTCCGTGCGGTGCAGATAAAAAGGGAGGGAGCCGTTGTGGTCGGTGCAAAATAGAAATCCAAGAGTAACTTTGAAAAAGTGGGATTTGACCACCCAAGCATGCATAGCGTGTGGTTTGTTTATTTATTTATTTATTGGTCTATAAAGGTATAGCCTTTCTCCTGCTCTTCCAGTGTGGTGTAGTAGTGGATAGACTCAGGAGGCGTGGGTTCGAATCCTTGCTCCGCTGTGGAAAGTTCACTGGGGGCATGGAAACCGGTAAATATCTCATGTACGTTCAAAGCCCTACGAAGGGTCACCCTAAGTCAGCTCTGACTCGATGACGCATAACCAAGGGCATGGCACATACTCTGTCGCTGCTAGCTGTGGTGAAAATTCGTACACAAGAGGGAATAGCCAATTTTAGGGCACTTTGTAATCACTGCTGACAAGACTAACAACACGGTTCTCACAATCTTATGCCATAAAAAAATTGTTCTTTCCTTTAAAGTAACTGAGGTGATGCTTGACTGTTAGAAAAAAGCGGTGGATGGAGGTTTGGTATTTTGCTGGCCTCCGGGCATGTCCGAGGTGAAGCGATCAGGCTGGTTTTCAGAGCGAGGGCTGTGTTCTTGGGAACCTCTTTGGCCAGAGGTGGACCGTGTGCGGCCTTTGGGTGTTTCTGGACTACATCTCCCATCGTCCCTAGCCTGCATGGCCAGTGATGTGGGGTGACGGGACCTGAAGCCCAGTGGGATCTGGAGGGACGGACCTTCTCTGTCCCCATGCTGGAGGCAGGCGAGGCCGGAGCGCAAGGTGGCCGAAGCCAGACCTCGCCATTCATGAACGTGGCCATTCATTTTGTCCTCTAAAATAGGGACCTGTGACTCATCGCTGGGTCAGTTTGGTTGGCAGAACCGTTTGCCTCTCCCTTCACGCTGTTGTCTCCCTCCAGGTGTGATGCTCTGAGGTTAAGAGGTGGGTCCCTAACCTATGCTCATGATGCCAGAAGCCAGAGTGACCCCCCCCCAGCCTGCTTCTTATAGCTCCATGGGGCACCCCACACCATGGCTCCCTGGCCCCTTCGACCATTGGCGTCCCCTCTTTCCTTCCCCCTTCCAGGTTGCCCACGGGGCATGCCAAGCTCTCCAGCCGAAGGAGGAAAGTTTCCCCTTGCCCATTAAATGTGGGCGATGAATCAACCAACGCTGGACGGCCTTGATTCCTCTGACTTTTCCCTCTCCCAAGACAGGGGCAGTTTGAACCCAGAGGGGTTTGTCTAGGGGAGATTGGCCAAACCTGAATCCATGGGCGTGACGGCTGTGAAACCACGGCCAAAAAAAGCAGCACCAACGGGCTGAGTCACCGTTTTCTCCTCCTGCCCAGATTTTTCCACCTCGCTCTTCATAATGCTTCTTTATAATGTCTTTCCCTCGGTCAGTTCCTTCCTGCCACCCCTGTTTGGCTAAAGGGTGGTTTTTCTTCTAGAGTTGAGTCACTGACACTTGTCCTCCTTCATAGCAGAGCTTGGGAGAGCATTTTGGGTTGGGGGATAGGGAAATACGAGAGTAGGACCCCGCCATCCACGGGAACAGTATCCACTGATTCACTTAACCACTGCCTGAAAATACTAAATAACACTCCCCCGAATATGTATTTACAGTACAGTGGTGCCCCACTTGACGACGACCCCGTTAGACGAAAGCGCTTTACGATGAGTTTTTTGTGATCACTATTGCAATTGCAAAACGACGGTTCCAACTGGGTTTTTTTGCTTGACGTTGATTAGGAGCCTGCTTTGCGAATCATTTGTTCGCTAAACAATGATTTTTCCAGTTCCGCAAAATGTTTCCCCTCCCTTCACAAAATGGCTGCTTTCCAGACCCCTGCTTCGGAAGACAGCGATTTTAAACAGCTGATCGGCGGTTATCTGTGGGCAATCTTTGCTGGACGATGAGGTGTTTCCCCACTGGAATGCATTAGCCAGTTTTCAATTGTTTTTTTTCCCCACTTGACGACAATTTCGCTTAACAGCGATTTTCCTGGAACGGATTATCGATGTCAAGCTGAGCACCACTGTACTGTATATGTATTTCCAAGTTGTATTTATCAGAACTGGCCACTAGAGGCAGCTGGAGACCATGCAATGTATGGCTTTCCAGAGTGGACTTCGGTCTAGATGGGCGGGATATAAATTAAATAAATAAAAATTTCTGATATCCACGGGGGAGTTTGGAAGCAATCCTTTGCGAATACCACAGTCCTACTGTACTCCTAAAAAATCTCACATGATGGGGGATTCTGGGAGTTGTGGTTCAAAAAATGAACCATTCCAAGCTCTTCTTCTTATCGCCTGAACATGTAAAGTGTCTCCTAAGGTTACATTTCAGTTCCCGAAGGTGGGTCCCTAATCCAGAATTCCTGGCTGTGCTGATTGTGCACGGTTGTGCACGGCTTGCTGGGCAGCCCGTTCCTCTCCGGGCGGTCTTGGCTTGCGGTTCCGAACAGCTCTAACCAAGAACGGGAGAAAGCTGAGGGTTGTCGTTCGACCTCCAGAAGTCTGGAATTTGCTCCTGCCTCGTCACACCCCTTGGTGCATCTCTTAACCTAGATGGTGAGCTGGGAAAAAAAACATAGTGGAAAAGAAAACTTGTCACTTGTTAATAATTAGACAACACCATCATGCTCTGGAGAATGCCACCTGTTTGATCTTGGGTCTGAGATTGTGTGATTTTAATATCTGCATCCTGTTCCTTGAGACACGCTGGCCACGTAGCCAGCCACCACCTGCCTGTTCTGCATAACCGGTTCGACACACTTCGTAGGGCGGGAAGCGAGGCTAAACTGGTGATGATCTTGATTCTAGTTCCCTAAAGAGCCAGGAATTCCAGAGTCAAAGGACCTGTTTTATTTTATTTTAATTTTTTTACTGCCTGGAGTCCTCTGCTTTTAACAAGCCATCTGGCAAGCTGGAGTACAGAGCAAATGATGTTTTTCCAGGCATAGAAATCCACTGATAAGAAAAGTGCCAGCTGTTGTGTTGGAAAAGCTCTGGCTGCTGGTAAAAACAGAGGGGCAGGATCCGTGCATGAAAAAGAAAAGTTCTCCCCTGCTTCTTAAGGATGGGAGGGAGGATGGCGCTATCGCTGGAAGCAATATCAAAGGATTGGTATCTGTTGTCTGTCCTGCCAGTACAAGCTTACATATTAATCATCCTGCAGCAAAGGGCGAAAGGGATGAAGCAAACAGAAATGGACCGAAAATATGGTTTTGGATGCAGACCGTGGGCGGAGGAGCAAAATTACACCAGACCAGTCTCAGAAGGTCTGAACGGATGGCCTGTCCAGACAAGAGAACTGGCCAGGGAGAAAACAGATAGTCATCAGAGCTCCTGTTTTGGCTAATAATGAAATTAAAAAACAAAACAAAACCCAGATGCTCTGCTTGATTAAATAAATTTATGGGCTAAACCCACACCTGCCTTTTTTTTTTAATTAGGTAGTCCTGAAAAGACCTGTACAGTATACTCAAATTATCTCCTCTTTGCCAGACATTTGGTATCTGTTTCTGTTTTGTGTTTTTGATAAGTTTTTTTCCACCCCCAAGGGAAAAATTGTGTTCACGTGCCCATCCTTGATTTCTTCCACATTTCAGTTCTGCTTCCCAGCTATCTAGACATTAAGTAGTTGAGCAAGAAATGCAGGGGTACAAGATTTTATTTCCGTCCGGTTGCTCCCGTTTGCTTTGGCGTCGCTTTTTGAAATTAATTTACATCTGCCTTCCTCCACTCTGGCAGTATGTGGACTACAAGTTCCACTGTCCCCAGCCAGATGGTGGGCGTTGTAGTCCAGGCACCACCAAGGAGCATCAGGGTGGAGAAGGATGATTCAGGAAGTGAACACACGCTGCACAGCATGCAGTTTTACTTAGTACAAAAAGACAGGTCCCTGCCCCAAGGAGTTTGCAATATATAATTCAGTACGGGAGAGAAAACGGATTAAGATAAGGAAAATGGAGGGGGGAGTTAAAAAGGGGAACTGATTCCACCCAACCCAGGCTAATTTACAGACGGCGGGATGTATTTACAGCATAGAACTGGGTGGCACGACCCAGTTGCCTCTGGCGGTAACTCTTAGTGGGAGGAGATGGGGAGAGATGGTAGGAGATTTGTGGATGATGGGTGAGATGAAATGGCAGCATTCAAGATCTCTGGTCGGGTTTAGAACTGCTGGGTAGCCCAATGGCTACAGAGCCAGAGTTTGCGAATTCGATTAGTTTGCTCAGAAGCGAAGCATGAGAATTTGGACCATAATCAAGAGAAAGTCCCCATCTTCCCATTTTATAGACGTGGGTAGCGATGTGCCTAAGGCTTCTCAGCTGTGCGGCTGAGTTTTCAGCTGTACCCCCTTCTGGGGTGTTTCTACACACATCTCAAGGGGGGGGAAGCCCATACATGGCATGCTTGTCCATGTGTTGTGGATGTGTGTGTTAGCAGACAATTGTTTTCACTGCCATCCTGAGTGAGCGGTTTGTTAGCTTAGCGTCCTCTTCTTGGCTCGTACTATGAGGGCCTCTGTTCCAGGCAGACACTCCGCCGAGTCAGCTCGGGAGGGAAGGTGTGTCTCCTCCTGAAGGCACCCTTTCAACATGAAACACCCCCCTGCTGCCACACAAACACACACCCCACCTTGCTCCCATCTTTTCCCATTGAGGCCCCCGCCTTGCTCCTCAGAGGGCTGACGGACAGTAACCTCTTTCATGGAGGCTGTTCTGTCCACCTCCCAGAGGTTGTGTGTTTTTGGGCAGCTGTCTTGTGATGCTGGCAGCCCTCAGCCTCTGTTCCAGGAGGAAAAACAGGATGGATCTTGGTGTACTAAGGGCTTGGCCAGATTCTTTCAGCATTACTGTAGATCCTTCCCCTTCCCTAGACTTAAGTCAGGATGGGCAAAGTGTGGTGCTGAGGCCCCATGCGCCTCACCCTAGAAAAGCTAGGTCTGCCTGCTCAGCCTCCCCTGGCCCAAAAGAGTTTCCCAGGGGGTGGGAGGTGAATCATAGCACGGGAAGTCTCAAGGAATAGTGTTTCATCTTCTAAATATACCCGCTGCCCCCAAAATACTCATGGTTCAAAACTGGATGTGGACTTCTAGCTGCTTTGATTCTGCTTGGTTTGGACTTTAGGTTTTTTGCTGTGGGGGGAGGGGAGAGTCCAGGGAGTCTGTAGAGAATCCCTAGGGCAGGAAATTTCCTTCCTCCCAGACCTGCCAACATTTCCCATCCCTACATTCAGTTGACACAAAGGTTAGCCTTCCTCTTACCCGTCATAGGAAGTCATGAGTCTATCAGTGTAGCGCTATGCACAATCTCCAGCAAGATGATCTGGAAACCGCACCATTGGAAGCAACTGGGGCATTGAAAGTGAGTAAGTGTGTGTGAGAGAGAGAGCCTTTCAAAGCCCGGGGACCCCAAAAAAAACACCACCTGACCTTAATGGGGGAAGTGTAGGAAATCCCAAGAGGGCCAGATTCAGCACAGGGGCAGAGGCTCCTGATCCAGACTCCCTATAAGCTTCCCGAAGCAACCTCATTCTCCAGAACGCTCCTGACGGTTATTCTCTGCCCGCTTTCAGGTGACATGTCAGAAAAGATTCTTGTGACGGGTGGCGCCGGCTACATAGGGAGCCACTGTGTGTTGGAGCTGGTGGAGGCTGGCTACACCCCTGTGGTCATCGATAACTTCCACAATGCCATCCGAGGTAAGGGGAGTCCATTGAGGTGGAGGTTGCCCACAGGGCCTTGAACTGGATTCGGTGGCAGAGGAGCCGATTGACCTGAAGCAAGTCGTAGATCTGATTCCCCGCATCTCTAAGTAGAGTTGGAAGGGAATGGATAAACCAGATACGTGACTTGAGAAAAGCTCCTTCCGGTGCTTCTGTCAGAAAGTGGAGTTCACGGTTAGCCTGTAGAAGGTTGCAGGTTCAATCCCCAGGGTCTCTGGAGAAAGAAGGACCCCGCTGAAAATCCTGAAGAGCAGCTGCCAGTCCGTGTGGACCGTATTGGGCTCCATAGAGCAATGGGGTGATTCTTTGTAAGGGAGATGTCTGTGTTCCTAAACTGAGGAAGGGCTGAAAGGCCCTGTTAGTGCTGGCTGCACCAATGGACTGACAGAATCTCTCCAACCTTCTCCTTCTCGGGCCCATCTCAGCCGCTTGCACTTGCTACAAGCGAAGGGCCTTTTAATCCCACCGCTGCCACCGCCTCCCCCCTCCTGGCAGGGCTCCAGCACAATCCCCCTCTTCTGCACCTCGCTTGGTCCTCTGATGAATGCATGGATGGGGAGAGGGGCTCTAGCACCCTTGGCCTGCATTGAGAGTGAGTGACCGAAGCGAGAAGGGTGGGTTGCTGTTCCTTGTTCTGAAGTATCTAGAGGTGGGTGAATCAGGGCTTGGAAAAGTTCCTTTCATGGAACACACAAGCTGTTACGGCTGGGAGTTTCTGGGAATGATCTTCCCTGAAAGGAACTTTTCTCAGCTCTGCGTTGGACCTCTTCAGTCAAGAGATCTTGGAGGGGGAAATTCCTGAGGGCCAGATTTTGCTCTCATGGTTTCCAGCTGCTTGACCCCAGTCTTCCGCCTGGAGGGGAGGAAACTTAAATCTGAACACTTGAAGGGGACGCTAATGGACGGGTGTGGCTTTCCTCTAGGGGGCAACGCGTTGCCCGAGAGCGTTCGGAGGGTGCAGGAGATTGTGGGCAAGGAGATCCCTTTCCAGGAGTTGGATGTTCTCGACCAGGCAGGCCTCCAGGACCTTTTCCAGAAGGTAAGGGTTTCCATCTTCCCCTCTTCATCGTAGCAGCTGCAACAGGAATGGAGGTTCTGGTGGACCTGCCACCTCAAGGGGAGGGGACGTGATCTAGCTCTCACCCTTTGCTCCCCAGGTCCCTGAGATGCTGTCCCGTCCCTCAGAAGAGCCTCTCCTTCGACCCAGCTCTCTGGGACAACCCTAGGCTCACTTGAGCTGGTCTTTGAGTTCTTCGCTTCCCACTCTTCGTCCACCCTTCCCGGCTTTACAGCGCATGTGTTCTCAGACCATTCCTGCAGCAAGAGCGCCCTTCCTTCTTCTACTCAGCCTGTGTTCATTTGCTTCTTAACCTAACATCTCACTTTTTAATGGTCGGCAGCACCGATTCTCAGCGGTGATACATTTTGCGGGTCTCAAAGCCGTCGGAGAGTCCGTCCAGATCCCGCTGGAATACTACAAGGTCAACTTGACGGGGACCATACGGCTCTTGGAGGTGAGCAGCCCGGTCGCTTAGCTGCACAGAGGCGGAGCGGCCGTGTTGAGTCTCAGTTGAGGAGAACGGGCATTTGGGTTTTGCACCGGCCCTCTTGGGCTGTGACCCAGAAGCCCTCAAAGGGGGCAGGAGATGGTTTTAACATCATCCGACGGAGCCGTGAGCCTCGGCTGCTGCCTTGAGGTCAGTCCCGTCCATGGGAGGTGTGAGGGGCCAGATCTTTTTCGGCTACAGAGTGGGCCAGTGAGGGAACAGGGATAAACGCCAGATGCTGTTGCTGAGCAAGGTCCCAAGGACTTTGTTGGTTTTTCTGGACGCCGGCCCAGCCCTGCCATTAGGCTGGCAAAGATAGGGCCAGCCCTATCATTAGACAAAATGGCGGAGTGACCTCCCTCTGTCTAATGGCGGGGCTTCAGGCGACACATGTGGGGTACTGTGAACAGGTAGCGAATTACTGGTTGTTTCATTTCCTGTTACTGAGAGGTATCTGTCGGTTGTTCTCCTTCCTGCCTCAAAATAATTCAGCGGGCTTTGTGCCTTGACTCTACTGTAGCAACTAGGGCAATTGGACAGGTGCCATTGGCTTTTCTGCTTCAGGCAGCAAAGTGTCTTAGGCGGCCCTGGTGCTCTGTGGGCTGCTGAACATTTTGTGAAGCGGCTGCTTCTCAGAGCGTGGGAAACACCATTTTCACGCACAACAGTTCCCAGAATCCTCCACTCAACGTGTCCAAGCAGACTGGGCGATTCTGGCCGTTGTGATCCCGGCAGGTATGGGCCATTTCTGACCCACAGGATGTCACAGAAAGAAGACACCCCCGAGGGGGGGTGTTCTTGTTACTGGAAAGGCTTGTGTGGTTGTTATGTGCTGCATTTCGCAGCTGTGTGTCGGAAGGAGCATTTTGCAATTTTCTTTTCTGGCACAGAAGGCTTTGTACTGCTTTAAATATTTTTTTGTGCTGTTTTTGTTGACAGTTTTTTTAGATGGCATTTGTTTGGTGCTATTTAGTATCTGTATACTTACTGTTTATAGCTCAACATTCTTAATTTTAAGGAGGCAAGCTGCCTTAGGTCCTTTTTAAGGGGGGGGTAAAAAGAAACAAATTTAGCCTCTCTGCCACGTTTGACGCTCGTTCCACACAGCTCTCGGTCAGAGTCCTGCTAGCCAGCCTGTTCTCTCACCTTTCAGACCATGAAAGCCCACGGAGTGAAGAACATTGTGTTCAGCAGTTCGGCCACCGTCTACGGAGACCCGGCCTACCTCCCCCTGGACGAGAAGCACCCGGTCGGCGGCTGCACCAACCCCTACGGCAAGTCTAAGTATTTCATAGAAGAGATGATCAAGGACCTGTGCAAGGCGGAACCGGTAAGAAAGCAGAACAGGACACAGAGACGCCTTTCCTTGTCGAACGCCTTGCCCCCTCTCCATACACATCTGTGTCTCGGTCTGTCGGCGCTTCTTTCCCCAGGACTGGAACGCCATCCTCTTGCGGTATTTCAACCCCATCGGAGCACACAAGTCAGGGAAGATCGGGGAAGACCCCCAAGGCATCCCGAACAACTTAATGCCCTATGTGGCCCAGGTACTCCCCCGCCCCATAAAGCGACTCCCTTCTGACTCATCCCTTGGCCTGTGATCATTTTCGGTTACCCGAGGGCTATCTTTTTGCTCGTTCACTTCGCAGGTGGCCGTGGGGCGCAGAGAATACCTGAACGTATTTGGGAATGACTATAACACTGTGGATGGGACAGGTGAGTGACCTGGAAGGGTCCCCGGTTTAAAACAAAAGTTTTCATTAGAGCAGCTTGAAATAGCAGACGGAGATGTGTGAGGATCTACAGTATGAGTTGAAGGGTTATGGGCTGGAGAGATGCACACAGACCTACACTTTTAGTCTTAGCCGTTTTTGAGTTTTGTATCCATTGGCAAGGATAGCCCTCCAGTTTAAGCATGAGGGGCCAGGCAATCTGAGGATTTTTTTTCTGTCTTTATTCATATCGGAGTGTCACCGCTGGCTGGATAGCTCAGGGGTTTAGGGAGAAAAGCCAGCCTGGGTGGCCTTGGGCAAGCTGCACACAGTCCCAGGGCACCCCCGGAAAAAGGAAATGATCAACCAGTTCTGAGTATTCTTTACCTAGAAAACCCATAAGTCAGAGCACTGTACGATTTAAAATTATGAACATATGTGAAATGTAGGTAAAATTAAAAACAGTGGTAGAAACATAAAACCAATACATATGCACTAGTTGTGGGTCACTGCTTTGTGCCTGCATGAGATTTACCAGAGCATTGTACAATTTAAAATTATGAACATGTGTGAAATGTAGGTAAAATTAAAAACAGTGGTAGAAACATAAAACCAATACATATGCACTAGTTGTGGGTCACTGCTTTGTGCCTGCATGAGATCGTGTGTGTGTGTGTGTGTGTGTGTGTGTGTGTGTGTGTGAGAGAGAGAGAGAGAGAGAGAGAGAGAGAGAGAGAGAGAGAGAGAAAAGAGAAATTGGCATTAAAAGCACGAAGCAAAGAGGTTTTCCGATTCAGGCTTGCTGCAAGAGAGGCTCAGCAAATGTTTCCCACAGTATGGAGGAGGGTCCTCCGAGCATGAGACAGAACACGTTGCATCCACAGTCCCTGTGGTAAAAATCTCCTCTGGGTTGTTTGAGTGTCCCATTCATGTCTGTTTTTAAAAGCGCTGACAAGAACCTTAGGGAGGTGGTGGGGATTTGCTCAGGCCAGGCGAACTGGCAGGTTGACCGTCTCCTTTGTTCTCTGGCAGGCGTCCGGGATTACATCCACGTGGTGGATCTTGCCAAGGGGCATCTTGCGGCTTTGAAAAAGCTCAAGGAGAACTGCGGCTGTAAGGTAGGAGAAGCTCATTTTTGAACAGAGCTTGGAAAAAGGTGGTTTTTGGTTTCTTTGGGTTTTTTTAAAATTACAATTCCCAGCACAGCCATGTAGTCCAAAACAGTAACTTTCACAAGTTCTGTGTTTGATTATTTGTTCTGCAACCTCAGAGGCGATGCATAACTTCCATCTAGGTTCAGCTAGTTACAGGAGGTGCAAAGGGATATGATGCAGTCTCACTTCGAATCCCAGGGAATCGCTTCCTGGTTGCCATTCCTGTCTGGTGTCGCCTTCGGTCGGCTATTACCTGCACGCTTCTAAAGGCTAGTAGAGGTGGGCACGAACCACCACTTTGTCGGTCCAATGGGTGCTCTGTGATTGTGAGCCCCGCATCCTCCAGGGGGCGCCCACTCAGAGGCAGCGCCTGGAGGAGGTGGGAGCAGGGAAGCTGGGGATGCCACTAATTGGGCACCTGCTGGAGGAGGCAGGGTTCGGAATTGCAGAACACCTGTTGGACCGAGAGATGATGAACCGGCACGAACCGCCAGTTCGTGCCCATCTTTAACCGTTGATAGAGTTCTTTTTCTTTCTTTTTCTTTTTTTAAATTGATAGAGTTCTTTTTCTTTCTTTTTTTTAAAAACAAAAGGAACCCTGGATTTTGTATTTCCTGGTACTTTTTGCTGAATCACAACACACACACTAGCCTGTGGTGTAGATGTTGGTGAAATTAATTTGTGGGCTGTTAATTTGGACTGCCCTTAATTAGCAGCCCAGCGGAAAGTAGACAAGACTGAACAAAATAGGCCAAGAGCCTGAATGTGGAAGGGCAGAAGCTGTAGTCCCAGTTAGGAGGGCCACATAACCCCCCTAAATTTTAGAATAACTGCTCCCTCTTGGGCTACATGTTTGACTGTCTTTTGTACCTCCTTCCTCGCCTCTCTAGCCTCCCATGGGGCCGGGTTTCAAATATATGCGCCTCTCAGCCAAGCACCTGTTTCCCTTCTTTTGTTTCTCTGAAAAAGGTACCATGCAGGTGGAGGACAGTGTAGACAAATGTGCTAATGGGACAGAGACCTAATGACACACGTCGTCTCCTTGCAGATCTACAATCTTGGAACCGGCACCGGCTACTCCGTCCTGCAGATGGTGAAAGCCATGGAGAAGGCCTCGGGAAGAGAGGTACGGGACCCAGGCTGGCAGGATGTTTGGGAAGAGAAGTTTGCCGGGGGCCGGAGAAGGGGGGGGGAGGAAGATGCTGCTGCTTGATGATCAGAGAAGGGTCTCCTCATCTACTCGCCCCTGGTCTGGTTGTCGTTGTGCCTTGTGCCCCATAGTTGTGGTGGGCTTCTCTAGTGTTCCCCCCCCCTGCCGGTTCCAGGTAGAAACAGCTTGCTGCCTGCGTGTCCTAACAGGAAAGGTGAAGGGCAGCCATACAGTGGTGCCTCGCTTAATGTCGTGAAGCGGATTCATCATAATGCGGGGTAATCGTTAAGCGGGGCACAACTATATTCTTTCTCTCTTTCTAGCTAATTCTGCAGCTGGGTTGAGGGCGTGAGTGAACCAAAGAGTGACATATCTTAGGTGGTATGATCCTGTGAATGCTTGCGTTTCCATTTGTTGCCAAGGGAATCGGCCGAGGCCTTGAGCCTCACAGATGCAGTACCTAATCCCGCCTCCTTCCTGGGGGGCCTCGACAGCCGACCAGCTGCACCCTCTCTGTCCCCCCCCACCTCTGTCACAGGCCCGTTCTCTTTCTTCCAGATCAAGTACAAGATCGTTGCTCGCCGAGAGGGGGATGTGGCCGCCTGCTACGCAAACCCTGGCCTGGCTGAACAGGAGCTGGGCTGGAAAGCGGTCTTTGGCCTGGACCAAATGTGTAAGTGGCGCCCTTCCCTCCGCTTTTCAAGTCCCAGCCTTTTGCTGTTTTCCAAGTCAGCCTTTGGGTCTCTTTCCTCTTTGTTGGTGGGAATATATTGTGGGTGGCTGCCTTCGATAGAACCAAAACATCAGCTCCTTGACCCCCGTATTTCCAATTCTTGACAAGCTGTGGTTTGCCAAGGTTTCAAGTTAGATTCTTTCCAAACCCTGCCTGGAGAGCCATGGTATTCCCCTAATGATCTTCTGTCCAAATACACAATAGATTTACTAGAACTGGCCACTAGGAGGAGCCAGAAAACCATGGCATAGCATGCTCTCTGGCTCCCTCTAGTGGCCAGTTCTGGTAATAAAAGTGAAAATATGTATTTCTGGATTCTCCCCTCCCCAATTTTACCATGCTATGTATAGTGTTTGCTATTATCTGTAGTTTTCAGCATCCGTGGGCACTCTTGAAACCCCCATGGATATGAGGGTCCTGCTGTACTAACCAGGCCTAACTCTGCTTTGACTGTAAATCAGATTGGGTGTGTTCAGGCTGCTGTGCCCATAAAGCCATTGCTGAGCCGTAAGGTTTGTATGTGTGTGTTTGTGAAAGAGAGAGAGAGAACATTGCCATTGTTCTCCTCATCTTCTCTCCTTCCCTCCCTTTCAGGTGAGGATTTGTGGAGTCATTGCTCAGCCGCAAGGTTTGCGTGTGTGTTTGTGAAAGAGAGAGAACATGCCCTTATTCTCCTCATCTTCTCTCCCTCCCTTTCAGGTGAGGATTTGTGGAGATGGCAGTCCCAGAACCCCACGGGCTTCAGCAAGAACTAGCATCTGGACCTTGGCGCCCCTTCCCATCACAACGTAGGCACTGTTGCTACACTGGTACACTTCCAAAGGACTGGTTAGCTTCTCACTCAGGAAAGATGGTGGCTCCCGCTTGTGTTTTCTCATCCTTTCTCCATCTCCCCCATTTGCCCTCTGGCTATTATTCTGCTCCTTCTGCCTCCCTTCAGTGCCAGCCCGGCTGATCCAGATCAGGGAGCAAGGAACTCATGCCTTCTGCGTCCCCAAAAAGTGACTTAAGGGCTACCAGAGACTGTATCACTGCGCAACATACTTCTCATCTCTCCAGGGACCATTTTTGTGCCTCTCTCTCTGCCCCCCCCTTTTTTTCAGACCCCAGCTGCTAGCTCTTTACCATTCGAGGCTCAGAGGAGATGGAAGATGCTGACAGGGAAGGAGATCGGGGTATTAATGTGGCTTAAAACCTGCCCCTGAGGTCTTTAATCTTGATCATTCCATGGCTTCCTGTTTCTAAATTATAAAACTCTTGTTTTTTTAAAAAATAATGCTTATTCAATGGACATCTGTTTCGGTTGTGCAGGCTGGTGAGACTGAACATTTGTGAACAGGACCAGCAAAAAAATAAATAAAAACACAACTAGGATTCTGCAGTAGAGAAAGTTGATGGTGCTGCTCCATGTTTGAGGGTCAACATTTCGAAGCAGTTGCTCATCTTTTGTTTACGGTTGAAATAGCCATTGTGGGCGAGAAACAGCCATTCCTAAAGTGTTAAAAACCTGCTTGATTGCAATCCCACTGTTTTTTTGGTTTTTTAAATCATCTCCTTTAATCTGCAGATGTACTTGCTTTGTTTTATGAGTGGTCATCAGGAGTGAAGGACCAACTTGCATGTTCCGGTGGCTCAAGCAGGATGCTGAGAGAGGACCCCTTCTTCTTGGCATACTCATTGTAGCATCCGGTTTTACCCTCCTTGATTTTTAAAAGACAATTGGCGCCCTCCAAACTAGAACCGAAGTCCTGTCAGATGAGTGAACCAATCCCCTGGGGCTCTCTCTTCTTCTCCTCGGTAAGGATGAGTTCAAGCTGGTTGGTTAGCTCAGGGTTTCAAAGCAGGTTTTGTTGTTTTTCTATAAGCAGAACCACAGTAGGACCCCCTTATCCACTGGCTCAGTATCTGCTGATTCGCTTATCCATGGTCCAAAAATATTATAAATATTTAAAGAAAAATCTTGGGAAATCTATATTTTAAAAGATGACGATACCAGAACTGGCCACTAGAGGATGGTGGGTTTCTTTGTGTTCTTGGATGGTGTGGCACAGGGGTTAGGGTGCTGGACTAGAATTGGTGGGGCTGAGGTTCTTGTTCCCACAAAAACGTAGGCACCCTTGGGTTGAGCTGTAAAAATAACACGGGAAGACAGGAGAGTTATATAGGCCACACCTTGAGAGCTCAGTGGAAGGAAGTCCGAGGCAATGTCTCTAATGCTCTTTACTGCCTCTTACCTGTAACAGTGGATGTGACCACTTTTCAGCAGCCTTTTCTTTTTAGAAAGCACTTCCTACATTTGTGCTAGAAACCCTCTTTAAGGACTACCGGGTGAAGATGATGGCTACGGTTCCACGATCCATCCGGATCACATTCTTCCGTGCCATTGGTAAGCCAGACCCTGTCAATCTTGTCCGTCTCAAACCCATCCCTGTTCAAAAGAACAAGAGCAAGACTAAACTGCCCCCCCCTCCACAAGCCGTTCTCATCCAGGGTCAGCTGGAAAGTCCCTGTAATGTCTGGAGGGGGCCAGGATGGGGTGAAGCCAAGATGATCTGGGGCGCCAGCAACGGTGCCGTTTGTGGCCCTTTCTCAAAGTAAAAAGGACCCAGTTATCAGCGGTCTCTTGACAGGATGGAAGAAACACTGGGGGAACGTGAGCAAACAAGGGTTGGACATTGGCTCTTCCATGGAGACCAAAAATAAAATAATCAGGTGCAAGTTTCAGAATAAAGGCCAACTAGAAAGCTATCCCTCTGTTGTGACGGAAATATCATTTGCTTCCTAAATGGCAGCCCTGGCCTGGCTGGCGTTCACTCGCTCCTGTAAATAAAGGGGAGCAGGAGGGTTCTTCTGAGTCTCGTCTCCAGAGCGGGAACAAACAACTGGATGCCAGAAACTAATGTGAATCTGGATACCCAGCCCACTTTAAAAAAATCCCAGACATTTTGGACTATTTAATCCCACAAACCCTTCCAAACTGGTCAAGATGGGAGTTAACAGTTCAACCTCTCGATGGCCAGAGGTCCCCACCCACCTCTACCCCCTTGGTGGAAACCGATGACGTCGAGATCCACCTTTTGCTGGCGCTCAACAGAGGTGGTCTTGCTGCAGGGCCACCAAAGCAAAGGGGAGGACCTTTTTTTCCAAGCTGAATATAACTGCAGACCAGATCTTGGAGGCCACACTCCGGTGTGTGTGTGTGAAAGAGTGGGTGGCATCAGTTTGGTCCAGAACTCCCCCCACTCTCCAAGTCAGTGAGACATTTCATTTATAGGAGAAAGAAGCTGCAAAAAAAAATCTGGAGGAATGCCACATGGTGGTGTCCTGGAAAAGCCACTAGGGGCATCCCAGGAGCATCCAGAAGGCTAGACAGGAGATGCCCAGAGGGCCAGCTTTAGCCCGAGGGCTTCAGGGCTCCCACCCCTGCCCCAGGGAGCGCTCTGCCTGCGGAACTCCCTTGAGCAAAAGGTCACCTAGCCAGTGCACCTCTGTTGACCTGAGGCAAGAAAGTTGAACGGCGAGATGTGTGTTTGTGTGTGTGTTTGTAATGACTACTGCGCACTGTTAGGCTAATACTAGGTTCACTTCCAGCTTTTATTGCAGCACCAGCAGTTAACAGGCAAGCGCATCCTGACGATGGTGAAAGCGGCGCTCGAGGACTTCTTCAGTGGCTCTGTTTGGGCCAGCGGGAGGGAATCCTTCAGTCTCCAAGACAGGCGTGCAAAACTTCAACGAAGAGCATTTCGGTACAGCAGAGTCCAATTAGCTCTTCGTTACCCTCAGGGTGGAAAATGCCCAACTGTTCCTCAAGGCCAGAGGTCGACAGAACGAACTGGCTGAGTCTTGAGTTCAGTTCTTAGACCAGGCTCGAGCGAAACGCCCAACTCCCTCAACGTTTTTGTTGAATACCACCTCTTGAGCCTGACAAAATCTGATGCTCTGATGATGGTGCTGGGGCCGTGCTATGTGTTGCCCGGATGGAAAAGGCAACGGCCTCGGAGACACAAACACCCCCTTTGCATACAGAATGTCCAGGATCAGGCCCTGGCATTTCCAGTTGCAACGACGACCCGGTCAACAGAGCCACAAGACAACTGTGGAAAGCCACGGCTAACCAAGGAAGCCAGAACTGAACGAGATGGGGAAAAGGGGGGGGAACCCTCTCCAATTATTTGCATGGAACAGCAGCGAACCTTACCCATCAGATAAGAGTTTCCCTGGACTTTTCTGGCTTTAGAAATAGTCTGAAGATTGGGAACTTTGTTTTAAGAGAGGAAAAATCCAGCTCGGTTCCCCTCCGAACAATATGGGAGGCTCACCTCGCAGGGCACAGACCATTCTGGAAACCCTGTCGTGGGGTGGACCCACATTTAGATACATGCAACGCAGAGACAGGATTCCCTAATTGTTCTTCTCTCCGGTAGCCCCTCCGAGCAAGATCGCAGCCCCTGCTAGCCCTGCACAGAGGGACTCGGGACTCTGCTGAATGAGGTGGCAGTGGGGAGGCGGCAGAGATACCTTCTGCCGCTCAAATCCCAGCTTGCATGTGAAGCCCATGGATGCCAATAACCAAGCTGGCACTTTCTCCTGCCAGCTCAGTTTCTCTAAGAGAAGGATCTCCAAGCCGCTTATCAGGCAGGTGTGAGAAGCGGCATTAAAAAATAATAATAACCCTCTACGCCATCCTCTTAACTGCGGAGAAGCCGAGATGCCTGAACTACACTGAAGAAACAACAAGGTGAGACACTCCACAGTTGTGTTTGTTTAATGTCAGTGGAACACACACACACACACACAAAATAAAATAAAAATGACATGAGGAAGACAAAAGGAAAGAGGGCGGGAAGAGAATAAAGAAGCCTGTGCAGGGGACAGAGAGAAGTGGCCGTCTTCCTTTGGCTTCCTCGTTCTTAACACACGCCCTCCAGAAAAAAAAGCCTCTGGTCCGCAGGTCAGATAGGTCATCGCTTTGACAAAGGTCCCGCCAAGATGGAGGTGGTGCCAGCGGAAAGCAGAACGCTCGTCTGGACATCGCTACGCCCAGCAATCCATTTTACAGCCGCTAGGTCTTAAGCCTCTAAAAGGAAGGAGGGCTGCAACGGCCACCCTAACCAGAAGCTTGGGTTTTCTGTGGGTGCCCACCCGCCCGCCCACTCCTCTTGTGTGGAGAAAACTGAGGCCTGGGCTACAGGATGCAGCAGAAAGCAGGGAAAAAAATGAAGTCTTCTTTCTGCTGCACGATACAAAACTACTCTTTCCACCCCCTGTGTGGAAAACAACAAACACAGGTGCTGCCTGCAAGTAGGTAGGTGGTCCTCAAGGCAGGAAGAAGGGTTGGCCAGAACCTCTGTGTTGAGGGCCTGTATATTACTTGTGGGGATGATTAAAATAAACATGTAGTGAAGCCCTCGAAAACACACATACTGTTGTTGCTGAATGGTCCCGTTCGCTCCCTTGCCTCGGGATTTTACCAGTTAATTCTACTGCATGAGCAAGACCAGGCCTGGGGGCTTCTGCCTCCTGGTATGTCCAACTGCAGAGGGGGCCACGGAGGATGCAAGCCCCCCAAATAAAATACTGCTTTCGGCTCCTGTGGCGGGAATGGGTGATGAAGAGCCCCCGCCCCCCGCAAACTCTCCAGCCTGTTCTGAACCACCTTGGCCCTGAAACCCTTCCCCCTCCAGCCGCCTTTTCCGATGGTGTGAGCTTGGGCTGAAAGCGGCCAACCTAGCTTTATTTGGGATAAGATGGAGGCGGTTCCTGAAACTGGCAGAAAAAAGCGGCCAACCTAGCTTTATTTGGGACGAGATGGAGGCGGTTCCTGAAACTGGCAGAAGGGCAACCGGTGCCCCATCAGCTGCGGAGAGAAGGATACAGAGGGGAGGAGGCTTCTCCCTGGGCCCTCCACAGAGCCACCGTCAAGGAAGGTGGAGGCTTTCGCTTTGGGCGGAAGCCGAGCTTGGTCCCACAGCCCAGTTAATCCCAATTTCATGCTGCAGGAAGGGGGCTGCAGCTGCTGGACAAGGGGCAAGCCGGGCAGCCTTGTGCCAGAAGCAGGAGAGGGAGCCAGGAGGGTGAAAGGTTTGGAAGGGACAGGGCGAGTTATGGGTGAACGAAAATGGCCTTCACCCCCCCCCCGCACACACAAACTCTTTGCTGTATCAGATCTTGGTAAAGTGGGGTGTGTTTTTCCCCCTCCCTGGCTACTAGTTCTCAGAACACCTCCTCCAACTGTCTCATTCTGGCTGGAGTGTGCGCGTGTGCGTGTACGTTTCAGAATTTGTACTCTTAAAAAAAAGAGGAATTTTCTTCCAAGCTCTTGAGAGCAGGATCTTAAAGATTGTGGTGATGAAAGAGAAAGAGATGGAGAAGCTTGGGTGCTCCAGATGATGTGGACTACAACTCCCACAGTCCTTGACCACTGGCCATACAAGCTAGGGATGCTGGGAACTGTAGTCCAAAATGTCTGGAGTGCCGAAGGTCCATCAACCCTGTCCTAGTGGCGCTGGCGGCAGCTCTCCTGTAGCCGCTGCCAACCGCAGAAGGGCGATTGGACAGGAAGTGAACGGAGGAAGTTGGCACCAAAGAGCCGGGTGTGAGGGTCGCTCAGGAGGCAGGGGTGGCCCTTCTCCAGAAAGTGAAAGGAAAAATTAAAAAAAAATCTCCCTCAGAAGAAGATACTGCTGTCCCTGGCTGCAAGACCGTCGGAGGGGAAAGAGGGGTTAAGGGAACCCTTGCTTGTCAACAGCACAGTCTCCTTCCTGCTGGGCATGAACAGCAGAGCATATCTCCTGGGGGAGAGGAGCTATGCAAAACCAGACAGACGAGACAAGACGCACACGGAGCTGTCTCTCCCCCACCCCTGAAGGCACCGGCCACCCGGGCCAGGAGGGATCCTTCTGCTTGGTAGCTCTGCTCACAACAGATGGGCAAGGGGCAGCCGAGCAGGCGCCCTGGGTGAGGCAGCCGCACACCCCCGCCCGAGGCCCTGCCTCAGCGGCAAGAGGAGCCCGTGACTGCTGGTGAGGGCGCTGCTCAGAGCTGGGGTGGGGGCTGCCTCTTGAGTCCAGACGCTCCCCTGGCCTCTGCTCCACCTACGTGGCTACAAGCGAGAGGGGCCCAGCACGCAGAGGGAAGACAGGAGCAGGAATGGACTGTAAAATTTACTAGCTTTGCCCTTTAAAAGACACAACGTGGCAGGAACTCGCAGTGGGTGGGGGTCCCTGGGCTGCGCCAGCCGTCCAACCACCTGCCACTCCGATACGCCCCGCGAGTGCTGTGCACGCTGGAGAGTGCAGGAGGATCAACTAGGGAGCAGTTCCAGGATGCGTTGGGAAGGCACCCTACAGCCACTCCTCCGTTTCTGCTACTGCTCCTCCTCCTCCTCAGAGACTGCCGGGATTCTGAAGCAGAGACTAAGGTACAGAGGACGAAGGAAGGAAGGAAGGAAGGAAGGAAGGAAGGAAGGAAGGAAGGAAGGAAGGAAGGAAGGAAGGAGAGAAAGGATCCGACTCTGCCCGCACCAGGAAGATGGTTCCTATGGGATACAAGCTGGAAAAAGCTTCTGCCGTGACGGAGAAGGAAAATGCACTGACGGGTGGGGGGGAATGAAGACCATCAAGGGAGCACGGATGTTTTGCAAATACTCCCCAGCAATACTGAGCACAATCCCATAATACCTTTTGCTCTAAGCCTTTGGCTACCATCCAGCTCACTGCTGCAGTAAGTGTTGTTGGGAAGGGAGGAGGACAGAGAGAAAGAGAGAGAGGAGGGAAAGACTGGACTCAGGTGACCAAAAATATGGATTTGCAAGGAATGCAGTCACGTCAGGATCTCAGGTGTACCTTAAAACCGCTCTGTACCTTCGCTCCGTGTAGAGGAGGAGAGGGGCGCCCCCTCCCTCAGCACAGGAGGGGAGCAGAGTGCAGGAGGGAGGGGGGAGGCCAGAGAAAAGAAACCAGCCGGAGTAGTGGAGATGGATTGCCGTGGCTTCCGATTGCAACCAGGAGGTCAAGGGTGAAAGGCCGCCAGGGGCGACCCCCGTCTCCTCTCCCCACCAACAGTCTGGAGTAGTTCTGTTTAAATCCTGGGCAGCATCTTCTCAATGAATTCCTTCACAGCCATCATCTCCTGGAGAGATTGAAAGGAAAACAGGCCTGTTTTACACACAGAGGCTTAAGCAGAGAAAGGACCCACCCAGGAAGCCCCTGTCCTTAAAGCAAAGCAGAATTGATATCAACCGAAATCCGTTAGCCAATGAAACACCCTCTTTAAGTCTTCACATGGCACAGTGAATGGCAGAAGTGTTATCTCTGAAAAGAACGGGCCACACAACAAAATGAAGAGTCTCGGTTTTACGAATCTAAATGGCTAGCTTCCTGTGATGCAAGAGTGGCTGCTAGGGATTGGCTCGAATCTTGGTTTGGAGGTTCGTGACGGTTTGTAATCTCTTCTCCTGCCTCCCAGGCTGGGTCTTCCACTCCCCCTCCTTTCTTGGCTGTCTGATGACCAGTCCCTGGCAGGACCACAGGCTTCCCTGCCCTGCCTCCTTGGCTGGTGGCGCGCACAGACAAGAAGGTGGGCCAGGCTACCCTGTGCTCCTGCCGGGGACTGACGGGACAGCCGACGAGGAGGAGGAATGCCTTCCGACTGGTGAGTGGGTCACTGGTTGCAGAGGCGGGGGAAGAGAATGTGCAGCACTTGGGGTGCCGCGCGTACGAAGCACTACGAACCTCTGGACCGAGATTCGTGCCCATCTCTAGTTGCTGCCCCATGCAGGTGTACTGATTTTTGTGGATTTTTCCCCCTAAAATATTTTCCTTAAATGTCTGTCCATGGAAATAGGTTCACAAGTACGTTCACAAGATAAGTACAAACAAAAGCAAAGCTGCAGCACTTTTAAAAGACAGAAATATTAACGGCCACGGCAAGCTTGCTCAGATGCATCTACAAACAGGAGAGGATCCTGACACCAGAGTGTTATTGCACGCCATGCTCCTTGCTGCCCGACAGAATGAAACAGTTTCTTTCCTAAGAAGTAGTACACGTTTAGCAAACAGAGCCAACAAGAGGACCATCTGAGGCCTTTGGATCGGCACAGCCGATTCAGAAAGACGCATAAAGGGTCTCGCAGTGGTGGGCCTTCCAGGAGGAAGGGCCACCCCCAAGAAGGCTTTGCTTAGGGCTGCCGTCTGCCGGACCCCTACGGGTTGACGCAGCAGGAGCAGGGCTTCTCAGGGGTTCCAAGAATGAAGCACATGAAGTTCATGCAAAAAGGATATTTCTCCGCAGCTTTCCTGCTTCCAGCCAGACTCCCCCCCCCAACTGTGGCCAAAAAAAAGCCCCCAGCCAAGCGGAGTTTTTGCCTGGCATCTCAGGAAAAGGAAGGAGCCGCCACCCACAAACCAACCTGAGGGCAGGAGCTGTGCATCAACCCCGGATAGGTTCTAAACTGGATCCGACTTGGGGCCACGATAGCCTTCAGCTTCTCAGAGGTCAGGGCTCCGAAGCGGACTGGGATCATGGGGTCCATCTCCCCATGGCACTGCAAAATGGGGGTGTCTTTGTTCATGCTGTTGTTCGCAGCCTGCAAGGAGAAAGTGCCAGGCGGTGACCAAGTGAGGAGAACCAAAGAGTGACCCACACAGCATTCTGTGAAATGTGGCCCGTGGCGGGGCCATCTGTAAGGGTCGGCCCCCTCTCGAAGAGCCACTGCCCTGCTCGCTACAGTATGGGCACATCTCTCCCCCCCTCCCCGCCCGCAATGGGACAGCTGTGCCGAAAGGGGAGAGGCCGCCGTACCTGAGGGAAGGCCTTGTGCAGAGGGAGCCAGCAGCTCAGGGCCACCACGCCGGCCAGTTGATGCGGGCAAGTGAGTGCCGTGTAGAGGGAGAGCGCGCCGCCCTGGAGCACAGCCGTGAATGAGTTAAGACACCAGATCAGGAAATGTGGCCCAAAAATAACTCCCCGTCGAGGCAAGCAGAGATACACCCACCCACAGACGGACAGCTCTTATCGACTACCACCATTTTGCCCCCATTGCCTAGTTGGGAAACCAGGGTTCTTTTCAGTCCACACAAGACACCGTCACTGGCACTATATCCGTGGCACACGTATGTCCATCCTCAGGGCAGGCCACATACCCTGTTCCAAACACAAAGAGCAAGGCCACGGCAGCAGCCAGGGGTTCAAGGACCGCCCAAGCCCCTTTGGCAGTGACCCTCCCTGTTGCTAATAGCAGCCATGGATAGCAGGCATGCATTCTGCTTAGATAGCAGGCATGCAGCCGCCGCATGCTCCAGAGCCGGTCTGCCTTCTCACCTGTGAAAAGCCTCCCAAGATAATGCGGTTGGATGGGATCCCGTTCTTTATCTCATGTTCAATTACTGCTTTAACTGGGATTTAAAAAAAGAGAGAGAGAACAGAAGTTCAAGGTGGCAGTACCAGTGGCTCTGTGTGCTTGTGGCCAAATGTTCTGTTGCATACACCATAAATCAGGGAAAACAAAGCCTGTTGGCACAGATTCACATGGTTTTCTCTGTTCCCAAATGACGTGTGTTTCAGAGAGCTTTATATCCCCCCTACCCCCCCCCGAGCAAGGCCTGCGGTGTCAAAGGTCATGGGGAAATGCAACACGGAGGAGGTGGGCTGTGCATTGTGGGAAGGAGCACAAGGAAAACCATACCCAGCTTTCCTTGGGCACCCAATCAGCTCGGCTCTGCAGCAGGAAGACTAATGCCATAAGGTACGTGCTAAGCTTTAAAAGGAAACAAGCAGGGATGGGCACGAACTGCTGGTTTGACAGTTCTGCATGGTTCGTTTCCTGGACGAACAGCTGATCCATGGCTCTGGGCCCTGCCCCCACTCCAGTGAAGGAGGCGGGGCAGAGCTCCTGCTGGAGAGGGCGGGGTGCAAACCATAGATTAGCCGTTCGGCTGGGAAACAAACCAGGTTGGACTGCCAAACCAGCGGTTGGTGCCCATCTCTAGTCACAACACTCTTGGGTTTCCAGCTCATCCTCCGGAATTTTCAGCTTTTCCAAAACCTCTCAGGTGCGCTTGCAGGTCCCAGCCTTCCCAATTTACGGCCACTGCGTCGCCTCAGTTCTAGAGAGAGTTGGACCCGTCTGTACAACACTCCAAAACTATTGTTTGGAGTTGGAACACAGCAAGAAAACCAGCAGGAGCAAAGGTTTTGGACGCCTGGTAAACACATGCTCCTTTCCTCCGCTTCCTTCCCACTGGACTTGTGTGTCTTCTCTCTCTCTCTCTCTCTCTCTCTCTCTGCCAGCATCAACTAGTGCTGTTTATTCATGGGCAAAACGCAGGATGCTCTATGGAGGAGGTGCCAGGATCAGTCTCCAGCAGGTAAGACTGGGAGAGATTCCTGTCTGAATCCATGGAGATCAGGCATGGTCAACGTAGACCAGGCAGAGGCAAACTCTGGCCTTCCAGATGTTTTGGACTTTAACTGCCAGCAGCCCCAACCAGTATAGCTAAAAGTAAGTAAGGGGTTTATGGAAGCTGCGTTCTAAAACATCGACAGGGCCAAAGGCTTCCCACCCTGATGCAGAGGGAAGACTCATCCAGATTAAAGGGGGAATCCCTCTTTCAGTCCATGAGTGAAACTGAATTTCAAAACAGTTCTCAGGGGAACATTCTATTGATAGGTGGGGATAAAAAAAGAAACCAGCCTATTTTAGATTAAAGCTCTCCCTTCCAACAGCTGAGCCCAAAAAAGCCCAAGGTTTTCTACTTCATTTCTAAAAGTTCGCAATTATGATCCAGGGAATATCGGCAAACACCAAGCCTGCCCCAGGCAAAACTTTTCTTACTGCTGTCGGCTGCTTTTTTTATTCCAGTTTCATCCTCCGGGGCGTCAGGACTTAAGCCCATCAGATCAAACCTGGAAGACGGGAGAAAGGGGTGAAAGTTAGCTCTCTGGTCTTCTTGGACTGAACCTGGTGATAAGGGAAGCAAGAGCAAGGGCAAAGGTTTTACAGCACAGTTAACACCTTCGCGCCCCGTGCTAAGCAGAATATGAACATTTCCCGGAAGAGATGTACTGGCAGGTCCATCAGCATCACTGGGAAATATTTCCCCTTTCCCATCACCTCCCTTGGGCACACACAGATCAACATTCATTCACTAAGTGGCTGCCATCTTGTGCCTTCTGTGGGTCACTTTTTATATTCCGCAGTGAGGGTGAGGGATGGTTATTTTGTGTTAATGCTACGCTTTTGATGGACTCCAAAACAGCGGGTGGCGTCAGACTGCCTCCTTCTGCCTCAGAGGCGGTGTTTATAAAAGGCACAGCCTCTGTCTGTCGCTTATACCCCATCCTTACAGGAGCAACTATAATGGCTACGCTTTGAAACCCATGCTACCCACCCCATTCACCTGCCCCATGGCCATCCATGTGGGCCTCCTCAGTGTCTCCATACAACACACACACACAACCACTGCTCTCTCATCCTTTTCTGCCCCAACGCCTCACCAGCCATAGCTTTCCTCTTCCTTCATGGTAGTAATCACAACCATTTGACATACCCTGTTTCCCGAAAATAAGCCCTAGTTAAGTGAAACCCTGCCCTCCACCTTTGTGCAGAAACCAGAAGATGATGACAGGACTGTATTTGAATAAATGTAGATGGTTGTAAATGAAAAATAAAACGTCCCCTGAAAATAAGCCCTAATGCTTTTTTGGAGCAAAAACTAATATAAGACCCTGTCTTATTTTCGGGGAAACACGGTATCTGTATTTTTCTTTTCTTATTCCTGTTTCATAAAAGGTATATAGAAAAGGACAGGAAATATGGTACAATGGGAAAGGGGGCAGGTCTAGAACACAGGAGACCTGGGTTCAAATCTCTGCTGGACCACGGAAATTTGCTGGGGGTGGGCGGGAATATCTCATAGACCTCAAAAGCTTTGTTAGGTTTGCTGTAAAATCAGAAGCTTCTTAATGGCACGTAACGACAACATGGAATGAGAGATAAAAGAGAGCAGCAGGTGAGAGGATCACAGCTTATCTGCTGGCAAGGCAAATTATTTTGTTTTATACTAACCAGGACGGCATGACCATCTTCATGTTGAGAGTGACAGGGATCCTGGGCCTGAGGAGGAAAAGGAGAGCAGGTCACTGTAATACAGTAGGAGGGGAGTCGGGAGGTCCCTAACAAACCTAGGAAACCTCCACTCAACCAGAGACATCAGGAGAAGCTGGGCGGCTTCCCAATCAATAAAATGCAGGTTCTTAAAACTGCCTTATGCTGTGAAATGTAATGTTCTATATTTTGTACAACTATGGAATAGACACACCAGTGTGGGCAAGTCACTTTTTTGAGGGAGGGACTGGGGAAGAACGACAAGACCCAGAACCACCCAGACAACATAGTCGTGAGGACCGTGGTTCCCAACTTTGAGTCCCCAGATGTTCTTGCACTAAAAGGCCTAGAAGCCTTCACCACTAGCTCTGCTGGAGCCTAGAAACCTTCACCACTAGCTCTGCTGGCCAGGATTTCTGGGAGTTCCAAGTCCAAGAACATCTGGGAACCCCAGGTTGGGAAGCACGGCACTGGGAGATGATGAGGGCTGCAATCCAAAAGAACACATACATGGCGAGGTAACAGCTGTAAAAATTTTCACTGCAACCACCCCCGTGCACGGCATCCAAGCTGAATTCTGCTGGTAAAGGAAAAGATCTTCCTATATCTGGCAAGAGTCTCTCTCTCTCTCTCTCTGCAAACACAGCCTGCTCTGCCCCGCCTTCATTCAAAAACCACACACCGTCCCTGATGGATTAGGCACTGTTTGGTGTGGTTGCCTAGCAGATCCTCCGGAGACCCGGACGTTGGAGGACTCAGCTCAATTCCGCTGCTTTTGCTGGCAAACTGCAGAGGCTAAGAGGCGGCTCAGTGGTCTGCACTCATCGAGGGGGGGTCTAGTACTGGCGATGCGTCTGTCTGTTAACGGCCACCACAGAGCCAAGCTGAAGTTGGAGGAGAGATGGCAAGGGGCTCCCGTTTGTACAGAACCTGCTGCATGGGAAGATGTGTCTGCCATCAAGGGTAAGTGGAGGAATACGGGAAGGAGAATGAGAGACAAGGAAGAGTTGCATTTTCCAGATAGGAAGTGGATGACAGGGAGCCCATGTTCCTCCTCTTTTGTCTCTATCAGCCACAGGGGTTTACCAAGAAAGGTGCACTCACAAAATATGCAAGCTGTTCTCCCTCTTGTCTGGGGGTGGGTTTTTTGTTACATGCAATAGAGAGACAGCTATCTCTCAATGGCTGCAGCTCATTTTGGAAAGGTAGCCAGATCTCCTCGCACTGGTCACAGCTCCGTTGTGGGGCTGGAGTTGTTTATACATGGGTGATCTGGCAGTGGCTGGTGGGCAACGGGTTGGGGTACACTATCCCAAGGTTTAGGAAAAGAGGCAATATTGTCTCTCTACACTAGAATTCTTACTGACTCTCTGTCTAATAATAAAGATTATGTTTCTTGTTACCACGTAAAATCATGGCAATGCTTGGAATGAGAACGTACACATGCGTTTCTGTATCTTAAAGCCTTTGGTTGATTTGCCAAAGTCTTCCTGAAGGTGTCTTGGTTCTGGCTGGCTGTTTTCAGAACCTGATTTGCCAAAGTCTTGGTTCTGGCTGGCTGTTTTCAGAACAAAATCTTCTCATGAACTGATGTGAGTTAACCTGTGTGTGGAGTGGGAGGCACAGCTTACAGAGTGCTCAGGTGTGTTGTGTTACCCATGTTGGGCAGGGGGGTTCAGTGAGCACGACCTTCTGTGCTCCTTCCAGATACACCAGTTAGAAGAATGCCTGCCGTCCCTTTTCCATGAGAGATCTTCTGCTGGTCTGGGATTAAAACCATGCATGAGGTCAGAAAACAGCTTCGTGGGGCAGGCTGAGGACTGCTAGAACGGGAAACGGAAGTAAGCCCCGTGAGGTATGGTGGCCCACATTTTCGGTCCTGAAACTCTCCTCAGGCCAGCTGTGGTAGCAGTATCATAATTCTGAAATGGCCTCCATCGCAAGATCTAACTGCTGCAAAACACCAGAATCTTTCCAACTTAAGACTTTTCTTTTCACCTTAGTGTTTTTTTTTTAAGGATTTTATTGTCTCAGTCTGCATGCTGTTTCTGTTAGACTTTGGCCACCTTTTAGGCCAGAACTGTTACAAAGGATATTGTTTTATGTTATTTGCATTTCCTTTCCATGCTGATCATGTCAACTTCTCTACCATGGAATCCGGGGGAAGAAGGGTGATGTGGAAATGTCCTAAATAACAGGCAGCCCGCACTCAAAGCCTGGGCAAAGGCAATACTTACGCATGAGGGCAGATGTATTTCACATAAGGGAGACGGATGGAGGAGAGGGCCTCAGCCCAACTGTGCCTGAAACAGGAAAGAGAAACGATGTAAGGACTTGTGCTACTCATCCTGCAAATAAATACGACCAGGAGAGGCCCCCCTCCCCACTCCTCATGGTCTGGTTGGTCCTTTTCTCCCCCAATCCACCAGGTGAAAAAGCCATTCCACCACAAAAGAGATTTTGGGACATGCCCATAGCTGCAAACTCTGGGCACAGAAGTTTGCTTGAAGCACGTAATAAGGAACGTGAGCCCTTCACAATATTTCTGGACTGCCGCTCCCATAATTCCTCACCACCAGCTCTGCTGTGGAGAGTTGACAGGAGTTGAAGTCCAACATCCTTTGGAAGACCACAAGTTCTGGATCTGTGGCTTGAAGACTCACAGAAGTTCTTATAACCTGATTCAATTAAAATAATCCTATAAAGTATGGGTCAGTGCTCTCCTCCGATTCACGCAGCACTCAAGCCTGCACATTTTAAATGGTCAAGGAACGCAGAATCTAAAAGCGCAGGTTGCAGAATCCTTGGAAGTGCTCTCTATTATGATTGGTCTGCACAGCTGCTACTGGATAGATTCCTGTCCCTCCTCTAAACATCCCTCCCTCTTACTGACACCATTGGCTAGGCTGGCCCAGCTCCCCACACATGTGACTTAGTCTGCCTTGCTAAAGGAGATGGCAAAGCACTCTGATGAACACAACTATCCCTCTATTGATCCCAGGGAACTCGGAAGGTGTATGTGCACAACTCATGCTGTTGGTGCGTGACATTCCAGATTCATTTCCAGCCCCTTCCTCGCATAATACTCACCCTGTGTCTCCAAGCCCATGTAAAAAAATGACCTGTGAAAGCAATCAGAAAATAGAGCACATTAACTGGCACAACTGGTGAGAAAGTGCTGGCTCAGCTCATCAGGGAAGCATCCTGGGAGGCCAATTAGTGGCAAACGTAAACAAATGGGTAAATAAAAGTGCATCATGCCAAAGGAGAGAAAGCAGGAAAAACTCAACCTAAGGTGGGTAAGACAGGCTGAGAAGAGAGATTATGTGCATCACAGAATTTCTTTATATCCTAGTTATAAAAATAATTTTAAAAAACAGCTGCAATTGTGAACAAAAATAGCCGTAATTGTGAAGAAAAGGAGCAGGGAATCCCGTCACCTGGGTTTTGTAAGCCTAGCTGAGACTGACGCTGGCAGAGGATAGCAGCTGCTGGGCCAAGGTCATTGCCAGCTGTGAGTTAATCTGATAAGCAATCCTGGCCTCTAACTACAAGGAAGGTAAAGTGTATGATAACACTCTGGGGTGATCAATGAGCCCTTCAGAGTTTAAGCCCCACCAGGTTCGGCACAGGAGACAAAAGACTTCACTAACCAGCTTTCCCAGGAGCACAGAATTCAGCTTCTTGGAATCTCAGGGTCTGTTTTTTAAAACAAGGGTCTAGACCTTATGGCTGGCTAGAAGTAATTGCTGCCAGCTGAAATCTCAGGAGCCAAAGTGGAGATTTTCAAGTGCTTTCCAGAGGATAGGATTTCAGTGCCCGTCAAAAAGCACTGCACTCCTTCTACACCCCGGCAAATAATTTATGCAAACCCTAAATGGTGTGCATTAGGATGTGAAAAATCACAGGAACAGACCAAAGTGGCAAAATGGGTGCCAAAAGCAAAATTTATGAGCTTTGGTACAGAGAACTCACTGACATAAAGTTCCTATTTTAAAAAGAGTCCAGTCAGTCACCAGCATGAAATCCAGGTCGAAGCAGCTTCACACAGACATATGGGCAACCTGCTCTGTTTCTCCCTGCATCTGCTGATCAGGATTAATCCTTCCTGGTCAGCAGACACAGACCGAGGAAGCCAAACAAGACCAAGAAACACTGGTCATGCCTTGCCTTCTCATTTTTATTGGCAAATAACACAAAGAAAAACAGACTTGGGTTTTTTTAAATGTCAGCTTGGAGAAGCTAGTGATTAACATGGGAAGCCAAATTTAGGCTGAATATCAGGAAAAACTTCTTAACTGTTAAGAGCAGTACGACAATGGGACCCATGACCTTGGGAGGTGGTGAGCGTTCCAACACTGGTGGCATTCAAGAGAAAAATTGGACAGCCCTCTGTCAGTTCTGCTTTCATTTGGATTCCTGCCTTGAGCACAAGGTTGGACTCGATGGCCTTATAGGTCCCTTCCAACTCCATGATTCTAAGACCTGGGTTAAAATCTTTCTACCAACCAATCACCTTCCATGTGCTTCTGGCAGAAACTCATGCTGCTGAAGCTGGCAGGCTTTTTGACAGTTACAGGACCCCCTGAAGACAGATAAACTGGGTTATTCACACCATCCCTTACCACAGAGTTGATCTTCCCGATATTATTCAGAGCTAGATTTCTCCAACTTGGCACCATCTAGATACGTTGGATCACAACCTCCACTCTGCTGGAGAGTGCCAAATTGAAGAAAGATTGCTCATAGCTCTTCACAGAGTAACACAGATGACCTTTCCTGCTTCAGAGGACCTTCCTCCAACTGAAACGGACTAAGTTTCAAAGCGTCGTTCATCCTGCAGATCCTTAAGAACTAGTTTGGCTAAAAGTGTTCTTGAGAAGGAAGAAACACTTGCCATTTTTGTTTTTAACAGGAGACGCTTGCTGTCATTACGGCTGCGATGCTGGACTCTTGAGAAGGAAGAAACACCTGCCTTTTTGTTTTTAACAGGAGATACTTGCTTGCTGTCATTACGGCTGCGATGCTGGATTTGAACCTCTTGCAGTTCCCTCCCCATCCTGCTACTATGGTTCTCCATTTCTATGCTGGAGATGCGAACTAGAGATGGACACAAACTGCTGGCTCAGTGGTTTGTTCTTTGGCCGAACAAGCGTTTGATGCTTCCCAGCCCCGCCTCCTTTTGTTATTTGGCCGAACAAACGTTTGATGCTTCCCAGCCCCGCCTCCTTTGGCGGGTGCCCAATCAGAGGCGGCGCCTCAACTTCCATGTCTTGCCTCCTCCAGGCACTGGAGCACCCGCCAAAGGAGGGATGGGGGGCTGGGAAGCGCCAAATCCCTGTTTGGATGAAAAGTGAACCAGTAAAATCCGCTGATTCGGTGGTTTCTGTCCATCTCTAAAACAAACCTCTTGATATATGCCTGGAGGGCAGTTCCCACCAGTCCTTCCTTCCAGCTCTGCTGGTTTCAACTGGCTGGACTGGCAGCCTAACACCTGGAGGGCTACATGATCTCTATCCCCCTTTGATGACCTCTCCCGTGAATGTACTTCTCTCCACCGTTCCACTGCGCGTTGCTGAGATTAGCCTGAAATTCTCAAGCAATCTGAACAATTTTTTTCAAAGGCTCGCAAGTTTTCTCAATTGAATTCTGCATCAAACAGGCCCTGATCCTTCCAGGCGTGGCATGTCACAATTTTCGCTTCTTCCCGCACTCCAGCACCCTCAAAATTTCATTCCATCAGTCCTGCCTTCCCATCTGTCTTTTTAAAAAGCTGTGCCAAAATTACCATTGCAAATTTAAGCCCAAATGAACATTTTTTTCAGGCTCACACAAAAAACAGAGGTTTTCCCAATTCTGGAATAGTTATTTGAATACAACCGGGGGGGGGGGGGGG